ATAAGAAAATGTAAGTGCTCCCCCATAATTTGGCCCATCAGCTCCATCCCGGCCATCAGCCAACGCTAACAGAGGGTATTAATCTAGTCATCCCTCGCTGGTCTCAATGAATTGCGATGGGAATGTCAAACAATTAGATTATATTGGCCAACAGTGGCAGTGATTGAGTAGCGAGGCGGGCGCGTCCCCTGAATCACCCAACAAAGGGAGCCCCCCCACACTCCTTGATAAATCCCCTCCACACCGGCAGGGGCCGTGGAGGGTGGGCCGCTGGGAGGTCTGCCTGTCCTGGGGCGGAGCCACACCTCGGCAAGCCCGCTGCTGGGGGTTGGGGAGCAGGCAGCCCAGGCCGAGACCCCAGGGGCCAGGGTCCCAGGCCCCTCAGAGTGTCTGCTGGTCCTACAGGGCCTTGGCAGGGAAACTCACAGCCAGGCTCTGCAGAAGCCGCTGGGGTCCCCCCTCCAGCCCACAGCCTCCGGGAACCCGTCCACCCAGCTGCACCAGCAGGGCCAGTCATGGCACCTTGCCCTTTGCAGGGGTGAGAGCGCCGGGAAATCGATCTCCCTGTTGGAATGGGGTAATCAGACTGGTTGTCTCTGTCTTCATCAGAGCCATGATAGAATGAGAGGACGGCACGGCGTGAAGTGGCGCGGTGTCCTGATGCAGGGGGCATTAATCGAGTACAAATGGCCTTTCTTGAAGTTGCTGAGTTATATTTCAGAGATATGGGATAATGATGCCAGTTAATCATTTTTACAAGATATAAAATTACTGGCTTCTCTAGGAAGATCATTAAGGAAAACAATTGTTCACCGAAATTGAAAATAGAGTTTTAATTATTAATACAGAAATTAAACTATTAGAGACCAGTGTTGGATGAGGGAACTTAATAGAAATTTATATACAGGTATCTATGAACATTTTAGTTTTATTAACCCACTGAATTTCTTAGTCCAAATCAATCTGGAAAGCCTGTTTTAGCTATGGTTGTGAATCAACCATGTGGGGACGTGGCTACGCCTCAGCACCCTAGGCCTGGCCGCCAGGGGAGCCGCCAGGGGAGCCACCGGAGCTGCCAACCTGCTCTTCCGGCAGGGGTGGGGTGGCGGGCATGCCCGGAGCACCCCGCTGGGAATACCAGGGAGGGACCCAGGAGCCCTGAGTGCCCAGGCCAGCGCGCACTCTGGGGGCAGTCAGGGCTGGAAAGGCAGACCGTGTGATGGCTGCACAGGGTGGGGCGCTGGGTTTGTGCCTGGGTGATGGGACCTACTAGGCACGGATGTCAGCATTGGCACAGAGCCTGCGTCCACCTTATAGGTCACACAAATATGACCTCCAAGTGGCCTGGCTGGTCTGGCTCCAGAGCCCACGATACCTGCCCCTTCCCATCTGGAGCCCCATTTCCCACATCTGGGAGGGCCCGTCCTGAGGCACGGGGTGCTCCGGGTTTGCACCGGCCTGCTTATGCTTTGAGTGAGAGCTCCGATTCAAAGATCTTGTGATGGGAAATCCTTCACCGTGTAAGTGAGAACACAGGGTCCTTGACCACCCAGACTGCTGGCTACGGAAGAGCCCGCACATAATTCAGGTGGTCTGTTGAGACACTGACCTCTGGTGCGGGCTGTGAGGGCTTGGTCCCTTTAACTCCAATTTTCCCAATTTCCTACAATAAAACATCTTGTTTAAAAACCTCATTTAAAAAATATGGACATCACTGTTTTCAAGACATAAATTGAGAAAACAAACAGAACCTTTAGAAAGGTGATTGACAAGCAAGAACCGAACATGGAGGGTCTGCGGGTCGTCACAGGTGTAGAAGGGCCAGACCTTGTGTGGACACAGGGCTGGGGCCGTGGGTGGATGCCTCCCTGACCCTGTGGGGGTTGGAGCTGGGGGTCAGGCCCTCCTGGGTCCCTGGGCTGCCCGAGTCCCACAGGGCCTGTGCTTTCCCAGAAGCGTGAGCTCCTGAGGGACTGGCGCACATCACGGAGCCAGCCTGGAGCTCAGCTGGGCTCCCCCCTCACCCTGCACACGTGGGCCACGTGGTGTCAGGGAGGCCAGAGGCTGGGTGCTGACCTCCTGCATCCCAGGCCCCTCGCGCCAGGGTGCCCATCACAGCCTGCGTCCTTCCTGGGACACAGTCGGAACACGCACGTCCAGCCTGCCTTTCTCAGCGGGCTGCCCACCATTTGCATTACATTCTGTCTCCTATTATTACCAATAAATTCCAAGTGATCTTTTTTCTCCTTTTAGTTTGTAGGGTTACATAAATTTCACCTACGCAAGTTTTTCATGCTGGAATATATTACAGAATGCCACTTGTGTTATAGAAGCTAATTGATAATGTGATTTGTTATGTTGCTGGGACATAATTCAGAAAGTTATTTTAAAGCCTTTGATACATGGAATAGCGCTCCCCGTTTAATCTCTCACACGAGTAGACACGGTGTAAGGTAAAAATGGGATGCAGCACAGATGAAATATTTCCAGAAGCTTTTATTCTTGTTGTTTGGGTGTGTGCCAACATCTTTCTAGAAGAAAGCTCATATTTCCAATACTGCTCTGATTTGGATTTATTCCCTGGTCATTAGTTAGGTTTTTTTAAAAAAACTGGAACATGTATGTGTTTAAAAAAAGGAAAAAAATGAAATAAAAAAGAGGGAATCACTACCTTTCAGTATGATCAAAGGTGAGATTTTTTTTTAACTTCTTATATTGAAGCAATGATACATTTACAGGAAGTTGCAAAAACAGTGCAGGCAGTACAGAGTCCCCCAGGAAACTGAAGGGCACGGCCGACCGTGCCCCAAGTTCACCACCCTCTCCAGGCGTGTGCGTGTGCATGCAGCTCTGTGAGGTGGACGTCTGTGTCACTGCCACCATCGAGGTAAGAACTGGCATGTCACCAAGGCCCCCTCGTGCACAGGCCAGCCTGCGCCCTGGCAGCACACACCCCTTCTCCATCTGTGCAGTCCTGGTGCCTTGAGAATGTCATGTGACAGACCACACAGAGCCTCTTCACTCAGCCAGGGGTCAGTAGCTCAGCCCTTTTCTGGGCAGAGTCTCACTGATACATATACCGGAGTTCAACCATTCACAGGCGAGAGACATTTGGGATGTCTCTAGTTTCTTTTTTGCCCTAATGCAATAAAGCTGCTAGAAACATTCATGCATAGGTGCTCTTGTGACATAAGTTCTCATTTCCCTGGGATGAGTGCCCAGGAGTGCAATGGTTGTTAATTGCATGTATAGTTTAAGAGAAACTGCCAAACATTTTTCCACAGGGGCTGCCCACTGTACATTCGTACCAGCAGTGTCGGGAGACCCAGTTTCTCTGCATCTCTGCCAGCATTTGGTGTTATCACTATTTTTTATTTTAGATGTTTTAGGAGGTATGTGGTGGTGCCTCATCACAATCTTAATCTGTGCTTTCTTTTCGGCTATTTGACTGCAGTACATCCTGACCCAGGAAGCTGCAGTACTGCCCCTCTGCACCTGAGGGCAGAGGCTGTGCTGCTGTGGCTCAGCCTTGCCAGCAGATGGCGACCAGGGCTCTCTTGGCCTGGGGCCTGGCATCCTGTGGACTTTTTGGACGGCTGCTGCTGGCTGCCAGGCGACCCCAGAGCTACGCTCAGAGGCCAGGGAACTCTCCAGGTGAGGCGAGCAGGAGACTCAAGACTTGCTGTACACATGTGGACACCCTTTGCCCAAGGTCTGCAGGACAGTGTGGGACAGGGCAGGAAGAGCCCTGGGGGCTCCCGGTCACCCTGCAGAGGTGTGTCCTGGCCAGGCTGCTAGGTCCCTGGAGACCAGGGCTCTGGGGCCTAGCCAGGCAGATGCCCAAGGGACTGCCTCCAGGACCCAGTGCCAGCAGGGGCCTTGACCCTCACTGCAGCCCAGGGACCCTCTAACCAGGGTGGCTCCAGCCCAGAGATCTGTCCTTTGGCCACAGGCATGTGAGACCCTTCGGCACGGTCCTGGCCTCAGCCTCCTGCCCTGACCCCACAGGGGCCAGGCTGGCTTGGGGAATGGGGCGAGAACCTTTCCTGGGGGCTATAGTCTGTCCTTCCTATGGCCACCCTCAGCTCTGCTGAGTGACCACTTGTGAGGACAGTGGCTTTGGGGGCTCACCTTGTCCATGGTGTGACCACAGGTGGTGCCTGGACACCCCACCCGGGGGCTCTGAGGTCGGGGACAAGCTGCTCGCCCCCCCAGCCCCCTATTTTTCGGCACCCGCCCACCTGCTCACTCTGAGTCCACACCCAGCTTCCTGCTGGCTTCCACGGCTAGACTTTGTCCAGTCGCTCACTAAACATTTGCCTGGCATTGGGCAAAGCGCCCCTCGGAGGGACGCACGCCTACTCACCAGAGGTGGCACAGACCACGAAGAATTGGATGCTCGCTGCGGGGCAGGGCGGACGTGGGCTGTCGACCCTAAGGGGTCACTTTGCCATTTCCAGTCCCTGGCCTCAGGGGAAATGAGGTCCTGGCCCAGTCTCCTGGCTTTTCCACCAGCCCAGTGGGAGGTGGGGCCACCCAGGGAGCAGCGTATGTCCAGTCAGCGCCCCAGGGCTGCCACGGGATGGGTGGGCGCCCATCATGTCCTCTGGGCCCATTGCCGTATAGGTCCCAAGTGGGCCAAACGTATCTAAGGGTTGGGGGCCAGCAGGGTTGGGGGAGGCGCTGACCGGAGTGTGTGTTCAGCAGTCGAGCCCTCACCTATCTCCCTCCCTCTGATGTCACCTCCCCATCACCTCTCAGGTGACCCCAAGGAGCCAGGAGGGGTCCAAGTCTGGAGCACAGCGGGCAGGGAGCTGCCCCACATTGTGGGCCACACCAGGCCCCAAGGCAACAGACCACCAGGACACCCCACCAGGGTCACTTCTGCTCTGCCACACTTTGGTGGCTCTGCTCTGCCTGCCCTCACATTTCAGGTCCCATCCAGGCTGAAGACACAGCCCCCGAGAGCCCGCTTCAGGGAGCGTGCGGGAGAGCTGGAGCTCACAGCCGGGCTCTGGCCTGTGCCAGGGTCTCCATGAGACCAGGCAGCATGGACCGGTTGTCAGACGCATATTCAGCAGATCACGAGAAAGGTGCACCCTCTCCAGGAGCCCTGACGGCCCAGCCATGAGCCTGAGTCGGGGCCCGGGGCATGCACTGCACGCGGCCCTTTGGTCTTTGAGGTGCTAGAAGCTGCCGGCGTCTGGGTTGAGTGGGCCAGCAGGCAGGGCTCGGAGCCGGAGGCCGGCAGTGCTTCAGACAGATGCCCCGGTCGCAGACACCACACAGAGAGGCTGGGAAGGGCCGTTTACTGAGCACTGACACACAGGCCGCCCTGGCGGCATTTCCCGCCCGGGGACCAGGGCCTGGGCACCAGGGAGCACAGGGAGGGCAGCTGTCCTGTCCCCTGGGAAAGGCGTTTGCCAGAGGGCCCGCCTGCTGCTGCGGCCTTTCAGGAGGTGGGAACAGACCCCCTCCCAGCCCCCGGGTGTGCACGTGGCTCCCCTGTGACTGGACCATAGTGGCGGGTCCCGGGGTCCAGGCATCCGTGTAGTCAGCCCTGACGCACCCCTCCCACCCAGTGACCCTGCTCCTCCTCCACGAGGGGCCGCATGTGCTGGGCAGGAGGAGGGCTGGAGGAGGGAGCCGCAGAGCAGGCCGGACCCCGGGCAGGTGGGGACAGAGGCAGGCGCTGCCCTGTGCAGAACCAGGTGGGGGGCCCAGGTGGCACGTCCAGAGGCTGGTGGAGGAGGGGCGCCTGTAGGTGGGGTGGGCTGGGTGGTGGGGTCCGGAGGGGCTGTCGGGGTCTGTGCCCTGGTGGAATCTGCGCCCTGTCACGCGATGGCTTGGTGTGGCAGCCCGTAGAGGACTAGGTTGAGGGAGGCCACAAGCCGCTGGGCACCCTGGAGTGGTGGCAGCTCGGGGAGCAGCTTGTCCTTGGAGGTCTGCGGAGACTCCCCTGTGGGGAGAGGGCGTGCTCGCAGGACTAGGGTGCCCGGCAGCTGGGTCATGGTCACGGCGCGTGGTGCTCCCGCCCTGCCTGCAGATGCAGACGGCCACCTTGGCCAGAGGGCTGCGGCACATGGCCGGGGAGGGTCCCCACCAGGACTGGAGCACCTGGACCCTCCCTCCACCCAATGCCAGCCCTGAGTGCACCAGGACCCAGAAGGTTCTGCAGCTTGGGGTGGCTACCACTAGCCAGTGGCTACCACTAGCCAGCGGCCACCATGGGCTCTGTGGGGCCAACCGAGGATCACAGTTTTGTCCCTTTCCATGCACATGGCAAGGGCCTTTCCCAGCACACCCCAGGTGGCAGGCGCCATGGCTTGGCCCTCATTCTGACCCAGGAGAATACACTGGCCGCTCCTCATGCCGCCAGGCTGCACCTGTGTCTACCCCCAGTGACCACTTCTGTTCCCAGTGAGCCTAGACCCTCCTTCACTTCACCTCCCGCTGACCTGGACCCAGCCCGCCGCTGGGCTCACTGGCTCAACAAGCACTCACTCAGGGGCTGCAGCCCAGACACGGAGCCACGCGAGGGACCTCATGACGGAATCAACCCGGGGTCACCTCCCCAGGCCCGGCGCTGAACCCCCACTGCTGAAGCCGTAGTCTGTGGGGCTGAGACCCCGCCACATGTGGGCCGCCACTGTTGGCGCCAGGGTCCCACCTGCTCCGGAGGCCGCGTGGGGGCCCCTCCTGAGAGCCCTCTGAGCTTCCAGGGTTGGTGTGACTTGAACCATGTTCAAGATGAGCCAGCGTTTCTAATGCCCGTTTCTAATGTCCCTAAGGATGCTTGGCACCAGCGCGCCCATGGGCCACGATGTGGGGGCTGGCCTGTGCTGGCGGCGCAGGGACAGGTGGCAGGGGGACCCAGCCCTGCAGCGCTGTGTGGCCGGGGCCGAGGTGGGAGGTCTTAGGTTTTAGGTTTTAGGTTTTAGGTACCGTCGCCCTGGTGATCCTCTTCCCCGACTCCCGCCTGCTGAAGAAGACGCACCGCTCTCCCGACTGGCTTGCCGGCCATCAGCAGATCTGGGGAGCAAACACCCCCTCAGGACCAGGCCCCCCGGCAGGCGTCTGGGGGCTGCGGCGGCGGGGGCGGCGCCCACTCACTCTCCCACAGTGTGCTGGCCCGCAGCGCGTTGTCCTGAAGACGTGCCGGCCACTGGTTCACCAGGACGCTCCCGACGCCCACGAGGCTCAGGAGGATGGCCGTCGGGACGGGCTCCTCCAGGGACAGCTGGCGCCCGCTGCAGGGGGCCAGACTCCTGAGGGCGGCGCCGAGGCCCAGCCCCCAGCCCCCGCCCAAGCCGCCCAGGTGGGAGTGGGGGTCTGCACTGGCGACTCGGAAGGTCTTGGGAGAGTCGGGAAGCCCCCCGCCCAGAGGTAAATGCCCTTCAACAGGAGCAGGCATCTCAGAGCCAGACACAGCGCCGGGCCCGGGAGCTCTGCCAGCTGGCAGCCCACAGTGGCCACAGGTGGGTGAGGTGTGGGCACTCTGAAGCCGGGCCCCCCGCCAGAGCTGCCCCCTCCCCCACCACCCAGGCTTGGCCGGGGAGCTTCCGGGGACTCGTGGGCCTCTGTCCATAGGGTGCGGGGACACAGCCGTCAGCCACGCGCCCCCTCCCAGACTCCCCGGGGCTGCCGGGAGCCGAGGCTGACGGGACGCCGGACACCTCTTGCTCTCTGAGGCCGCCGCCCACCGCCGCATGCTCTCATGAGACCGCGTCCGATCCAGCACGACCATCATCCGGCACCCTGCACGGCACGGGAGTGGCAGCTCAGCAACTGGGCGCCAGGCTGGCGCAGAGGCCAGGGGAGGCACAGGCTTGACATCAGGCCCTTTCCGGGATCCACTGGCCGCACAGGCACATAGGGGCCCTGTTTCGGGAGCCCCACACCTTCACAGCCTCCTCGGGCACCACGCTGGGCAACAGCAAGCAGGGGAAGTCAGCGGGCCTGCGCACCTCTCCGGGTCCGGCAGAGGGGCTCACCCCCAGCACGCCACACCAACGGGGTGCCCCAGCTTGCTGTGGTCTCAGGCCCTGGTCTCAGGCCACAAGTTGGTCACCCTGGCCCTGTGTGCCCACTGACAGACACCAGTGTCTAAAACGCAGCACTTGGGTGTGGGCATGCAGTGAGCCCCATGGGGCAGAGGCTGGCCCCCACCGGCCCACAGCGGCCTGGCTGAGGTGGCCTCGGGGTGTCCCAGGGGCAGGCAGAGCACAGGCTGGGTGAGGGCAGGCCTGGGCGGGCACTGCAGGGGCACTGAGTAACACCTGCTGCCTGCTGAGCCTGCCTGTTCCCCCTGCCCTCGCCCTCTCCTCTGGAAACTAAAGCTGCCCCCTCCCAGGTCGCCTGGCCCTACCCACACCTCGGGGGGCTGGAAAGGAGACAGGTACCAGCGGGCGCCCTGACCACAGGAAAATGTGCACATGCCTGCTGGACTGCCGGCAGAGGACCTCATGTCTTTCCAGGGCAGTGGCCATTTTTGAGGAGTCCCTGGGAAGGACCCTGGCAACTGCCAGGCAGCCAGCCACCCCGTCAGAGGAAGGCCAGTGAAGGGTGGGCCAGACCACCCACACGGGCCACGGGCAGGGCTCACGGACAGAGGAGGCCCTGCGTGTTCACCGGCTGACAGGAGGGGCTGGGGTTGCTGAGAAACGGGAGGCCTGCCCCGGGCGTGCGGCACCTCCCTAGAGCGGAGGGCCCTGTGCCTGAGGGCGACAGGGGCTGCGGCATCTGCCAGCCTCGTGGTGGGCAGTGGGTCCTGGCAGCCGGGGGTGGGTTTGCAGGGCGCTCACCTTGCAGGCTCATGGCGGCCAGCCTCTCCACCAGCACGTGGGACAGGAAGCTCTCCATCCCGTAGAAGAAGAAGCCCTGGCAGCTGCCCAGGAGCTGCTCCCACTCAGCCTGGCTGCAGGGAACAGGGGGTGGGCAGGGGCAGGGCCTGGGCGACACCGCCAGCCCCAACCTGCCCTCGAGGCCTCGGGCTGCAAGGGAGACCCACTCCCAGAACTGTCCTGTGCTTGTCACCCAATGTCCCACCCCTTGGCGTCCACCCCGTGTTCTGACTCCCAGTTTCCCTGGGTGACTGGTCCAACTGGCATCCAGAGAATGGACCTTGTGTCCCTGGAATGAACCCCGTCTCACTGGGCAGTGGCTCTGAAAAGTGCTAGAAGGGCTTCCCTGAGGGCCAGCACGCCCAGGGTCTTGAGGGTGCGTGCCCACAGGAGACATGTCCCCTCCAGGAGGCCTGGCTGTGGTGAGGGGTGCCAGCCACATGCAGCACAGCCCTGGGCACCCAGGTCCAGGGGGCTGAGGACAGTGACACCCCTCTGTGGGCACTGGCAGGGCCAAGGAGCCCAGGTGAGGGGAAGAGAAGTCGGACACCAGAAGGCTCCGTGCACAGGGAGGATTGACAGGACTGGGGAGAGGGGCCAGGGCAGGAGGGAGCCTGAGGGAAGCGGGGCGCTGCGGGGAGGGAGGGGCCGCCCCTGGTCAGCGAGCCTGCCCCTGTGGCCCCGGGGCCCAGATGCGAACCTGGGACTGCGCTTGTTTCCCAGATGCCCCACCCATCGCGCAGTGAACGTGTCTCGGAATTTTTCCAAAATTTCCTGGGTTACCGACACAGGAGCCAGCATTTCTGCAGTGAGGATTGGATGGCGACAAAGCACAGGCGGTGTCACCGAGCAGGACATCGAGGGGCCGGGGTGGAGTCAGCATTTGCTGCTTGTAGCAACATTTGCCTCCTTTCCTCCTTTGCAGAGAAATTCCAAACCAGTTTGGAAACAGACCCGAGGGACTGCAGACTTAGCCACAGAGGCCACACATTCACACACCAGGCGCCAGATGCCACGGCTGCAGCTGCAGCCACTTTTCACACAACAGAGGCCCAGCCTCGACTGCAGAAGCACATCCCGGGGACAGGGTGGACCATGCCCCACGCAGCCAGCCCAGTGGGCAGCTGAGGACCGAGGCAGAGGCCGGGCGGGCAGCCAAGGCCATGCCCCGTGGCATGGTCACCAGAGGAGCAGAGGGTCACGCTCACCTGGGCCCTGGGCCTCCTCATAGGGGTCCACCACAACTGGGCTGCCGTTAAGGAGAAACAGGACGCAGATCCTGGGTCTGGCGCGGCAGGCCCGTCAAAGGGTCAAAGGATACACTTGAAGTTGTCTGAGTCGACGAGGAGGCAGCCGGGAGGGATGACCCGGCGCGCATTGCCCTGCGGCGACAGGCAAGGTTGCTGGGGACGTCCTGCGTGCTGGGGGGTGCTGGCTACTCCAGCCAGGAGCCAGACAGCCCAGGGCCGCCTGCAGGACCCATGCTCCCAGGCGCCCAGCGGCGGCCGGAGGCTGGCCCCCTACCTTCTGGCCCCGTTTCGCTGGACTCTGCTTTCTGAACTCCTTGCCCCTGCCGTCCTTTTTCATGCCGCCTTCTGTCGAGACAGTAACAAGCAGCCGTGATTCTCTAGCGCGAGGTGAGCGCACGACGTGCTTTGAATCGTTCACTCTGAAATGGTCAGTTTGTATTACGTGAATTTCACCCCAATAAGAAAAATAGGAAGTAGTAGGAACAGTTGATTTTAATTTTTTTGAGTTGAAATGGTAGTGATTTCTCAAAAGTAGAGGCTCATGAGCCAGGAGAGTCTTCCTTATGGACAGGAGACCCCAAGAAAGGAACAGCTGCCGGGGGGGTGGGGGGGGGTCTCTGTTTCAGAGCCCCACACGCCCCTGAAGCCAAGACCGGACCGCGCGGCCGAGTCCTCGCTGTTCTGTTGGGCGCAGGGGGCGGGGCGCCCAAGGGCCTGCGGGGAGGAGCCACAAGCCACGCCCTGCGCTGTCACGGCCTCTTGCTTCCCGCACCTCGAGGCCGCTCTGCTCCCTGACGGGTCCCACCAGCAGCTCGGGGAGGGCCTGCCCGTCGGGGTGCTGGTGGCTGGACATCGGAATGGAGAGGCCGTCCCTCTGCCACCCCCCGGGGTCGCCCGCCCTCTGATGCCCCAGGTGTCCCTGGAACAGCACCGGCCGATGCCCTTGTGCCGCTCTGTCCTGCAGGTGTGACCGACAACCAAGGGGACTGACCCCGGCTCTGCTTCCGCTTTCTGTGTTTGTCCCGCGTGTTCTGTGTGTGTACCTCTGTCACGGGTTCTTTGTCACTTGAGGTACTTGGTTCATTTCTTCTCTTATTCATTTCCCTATTTATTGGCTTGGGAATTACACACCAGTTCTGTTCTTTTGGTGATTATCCTTAAAGGTCTGCCATGGGTATCAGCACCCACAGAGCACCCTGCAGCCGGGCAGCCCGCGGCCCTGAGGACACTCGCCGGAGGCCCGCAGCCCTCCTTGCCGTCCCCGCTCTGCAATGCGATCAGAAAGGCTGGACTCGCGCTTAGCCGGTGTTCCTGTCACTCTGTGGTGAGCGTTGGCACTAGTTAGTCCCTCGCCAGAGACAGGCCCCCTCAGCACCCCCGGAGCCTGCACGCACAGCCCGGTGGGCCTCTCTCCGCCCTGGCCGGCCCTGGCCCTTGCATTTCACTTCCCCTTCATGAAATAAAGACCCACAATACATCATATTATTTTTTTTGTTCTGAACTGTCAAAATTTTGAAGAAATTTTAAAAATAAGAGAAGCGTTTTGGCTATGTGCCCGCACTCTCCTTGCTCCTGGTGCTCGTCCCCTTTGCGTGCAGTCGCCCCATGTTCTCCGGGCGTTCTTGTAGCGAGAGCAGCCTGCCCTGAAAAGTTCCTCCAGCCCTCCTGAACCTGAAAAGTCTTCATTTCACACTGTTTCTGAAAGTTGTTTTCAAAAACATCTAGGCTGACAGCTTTTTCCTTTCACAGTTTAGGGATGCTGTTCACTGTTGCTTTGCTTCCACCAAGAAGTCTGTTGTCCCCTTGATTTGTTTCTTGATACAAACGTCTTTTTTCTCTGGCTGCTTTTGAAATTCTCGGCCGTTGGTTTTAACCAGTCTGCCAATATGTTCTCAGTATAGTTTTCTCCCTGTTTGGGGTTCCCTGACCCTCTTGGATCTCTGGGATTACAATTTTCACCAAATTCGGAGGAAAACTAGCCATTATTACTATTATCATTTCAAATATTTCCCTCTTTGAGAACCATGATCACAAGTGTATCAGGGTGCTCGAACCACTCACCGGCGGTCAGTCCATTTCTTTCCCATCTCCTTCTGCTGTCGCTTGCAGTTCTCTAATCCGTTCTTTCGCCCTGACCGCTGCTGACGCTGTCCAGTGCATCCGTCCATCTCAGGAAGCTCACCTTGGGTCTTTAGTCCCTCCTGTGTCTGTGGGACACTCGGCCTCCCTCCACCTCCTGAGCACGAGGGCTGTGGCTATGGACGTGTTCATGGCCTGTCTGCTCATCCTACCGCCTGGCCTGTGTCTGGTCTGTTCTACTGATTGGCTCTTCTCTTCATTAGGGAATCACAGTTTTCCACTTCTTTGCTTGTCTGATAACATTTGATCAAATGTTAGACATTTTGAAGTTTTCCTTGCTGGGTGCTGGACATTCCTCATTTCTGTAGTTCCTGAGTACTGTTTGGGGGTGCAGGTACGTTACCCTGACCTAGTTTGATCCTCCCGGGGCAGGTTTTGAGTTCTGTAGGTGGGACTAGAGGGACACGGCCAGTGCACACCCTCTCCTCACTGTTCCTAAGCATGTGACTTCATGCACACTGTGGGCGCCTGAACCGTCCCCAGCCGTGAACAGGCCCGGAGGACTGTGTCCTCTGCCACTCAGGGTGGTTCTGTCCCTGACCTCGGCAGGTTCCTCACTCACATGCATGGACCAGCCCTCAGCTCAGGGCCTGAGAGGACCCGCGACAGAGCCCTGGAGTGTGCCCTGTGCTGCTGTCTCCTCCCAGCATCTGCCCTTCAGATTCCGTCACTGCGGTCCCCAGGCCCCCTGCTCCATCTCAACCTGGGGAGACCGCCAGGTTGCCTGGTCTCCCCCACCGGGCAGAAATCTGGGATTCACTGGTTGTTTGCCCCTCCTGGGGTCACTGTCTCCCATGTCTGAAAACTGTTGTTTCATGTATTCTGTCTGGTTTTTTCTTATTTCAGTTGGAAGGGCAGATTTGGTCCCTGTTACTTCTTGGATGGAAGCAGAAGTCCAATATATTTATGTTTCATTTTTCTTGATATTTATTGAAGTGCAACATGCATGCTGAAAACTGCATGCAGCACATGTGCACAGCTTGCAGAATTCCCACAGACGGGGTCTCTGTGTCACCACACCCAGCGACAGCACGCAGCCAGCTGCCCCAGGCCTGACCCTGCCCTGCCTCTCCCCACCTGGCAAATGGCTCCCGCGTGCCTGCCTCTTGAGCAGTTTTGAGGCCAAGAACAGTGTTTTCTCTCTCCCTCTGTGTGTGCAAGCACGCACGCACATTCAGCACCAACACAGAGCCCTTGGCACAACTGCTCTGTAACATCTTTGCACAAACCTAGAAAATGTTGCAGCGTTTGATGATCCTGTGTAATGAGTTAATGCTCCCCATTCACAGTGGCCTGACCGCTCCATTCTGGAAAGAGAGAGTCGGGCCACGGCGGGGCCACGGTGGCTCTTACCCGTCTCCTCTCTGCTGAGGCGATTCCACAGCATCTGGAGCGAGAACTCCCGGGACAAGGAGGAGACCACCCCCTGGCTGAACACCGACAGCCCTTCCAGCGGCAGCTCCAGGAGGTGCCTGTCCACGATGAGGATGAGGTTGTCTGCAGTCTCAGGCAGAACTGTGGGCACAAGAACACCAGCTGCACGGCCCCAGGAGATGGGCCCAAAGACCGAAAAGCTCCCAGGGTAAGCCTGCTGGCCACAAGCCTGCCTGTCGCCTGAGCTGGGTGGCACACGGGGGCCCTCCAGGGATGCAGCTGAGTCATAGCTCGGGCTGGGCACAGCCAGGTGGCAAGGACTCCATCCTCTGCAGCTCTGAGGACCTGCTTAGCTCTGGCAACCCGTCCCATGCAGGTCCTGGGGTGCATGGCTCCTTCTCACCATGGAACCCCTTCACAGGATGAAAATTTGCACTAATCCCTCCAGAAGGATGGTCCAGAGAGAGGTCCTGTTCCCCAGGGAAGCTTCTTGTGGGAGGGGCATCAGCAGCATGTCCAGGTGGCCCTCCTTTGGGCCTGCCTGGCTGGTTAGAGAAACCCACCCCTTGGGGCGGGCACAGACAGTGTTAAGGGGTGAGGCCACTGGACTGTTTGAATTTTACAAACTAAAAACAAACTACTTAAAACCAAGCAAGTGTCTTGACCTGGGAATCTTTAGGGCAACTCTCAGTTCGCAGAAGTGGCCTCAGTGAGTCAGGCTCTGACTTCTTAACCCGAGTGTAAACTGTGACTTACTTTCTTAACAGCTACACATACTCCTGAGCCCTGCACCCTCAGTGCCAGCCGGCAGCGCTGAGGGCAGCTCGGTGCTGGGGGAGGGCACCACCAAGGCACACTGTTCCCAGCCTGACACTGCGACACCTTTAAGCACACTGAGTGAGAAACAAGAGGGTCTGTACTGAAAGTGCACAGGTGCCACGAAGCCACCAGCACTGACCTGTCTGCAGGCCGGGTGGCCTCCGCACACTCACCCGGAGGCCCATTTTCCGTCCACATAGCCCTCATGTCATGTGGGGTGTACAAACATGAGATGGTGACAGCCAACATGGCCCCATACAAAGACTGCACATTGTCACCACTGTCGCCACATGCACGTGGAGCTGCCGGGCCCCTGAGGGCAGGCAGCTGGCTGGGCCAGGGTGCTGGTCAACAGTGGTGCTGGCGGAAATGGGGACCCACCCCCACCCAGATGCTCGGCGCCTGGACAACGCTCAGACACGGGGCCCTGCTCCTGGCCATGCTGCACAGATGGATGGGGGTCCCAACACAAGCCACAGGCCACAAGTCCCCACCAGCTGCCACTCACCCTGAGGCAGGGACACATCCTTCTCCTGGCCTTTGACCTTCAGTTTTCCCAGATCTGCAGTGACTGAGGGAGTCTGCACTCTGAAAGCCAAAGGCACACATTCAGGTTTTTAAAAGTGCACAAAAACGACGTATACTAAGAATGTGAAGAACCTCCCTGTGGACGGACTGTTTCACACTAAGACAGTGAGTGCCACATGTCACCCTCTGCAGCTCACCTCTGGGGGCCCACGGGGGCCCTGGCAAATGCGAGCAAACAGGACTCAGGGTTACCTCCCGTCTACTGGCAAATCTAAATGGTGCCGTGTGCCCAGCCCCTCTGCTTCTGTCCTACCAAAAATAAGAGACGCTTGCCATGCCCTCCCCTCCCACCCTGCACCCGATCAGGGGCTCAGAGGGCAGAGGGGACCTAAGCGGCGGGGACGTGCCCAGCACAGATGGACAGCACCAGGCATTCGGGATCACAAGGGCCCCGGCATGCTCCTCACTGACGTGGACACGGTCCAGTTAAGCACTAGTGGAGCTTGTCAGACACACGGAGTTGTGGTATCGGATGTGAGCCTCCACTTGTGAACATCCACCTGTCCCCCAGCCGGCCTCGGCTGGCACTGGGATTCAGGCTGAGGCCCCCACCCTCGAGCCCGCCCTGGGCACCACTGCCCTTGTGGGGACAGGCAGTGTGACCCTCCTGTCTGTCCCTAGATGGCTGTCAGCCTCGTGCCCCCCAGGCCTCAGGCTATCCACTCAGCACCTCCCCTGCCTGCAGCCACCGCCTCAGCGCAGGGAGCTGTCCCGTCCAGCAGGTACCTGGCTTCAGGGCCCCTGAGCAGCGGGAACAGTGGCCTCAGATACGCCTCCATGGGACTGAGAATGTTGCTGAGGAATCTCTGCGGAGTGTGTCCCCTTTCAAGGTGGGCGCTTTCTGACTCCTGTCTCAGCCCGAACATCAGCCATGGTTGGGGGTTAAGGGGACCTTGTAAGAGCCCCACCTACTCAGAGCGAAGAGGGGTGACTCCACAGGGCCCGGCCTCCAGCCCTCTGGAAGCAGCCTGGTGGCCGGGGGCCCAGCTCGGCAGCACGGCCCCGCTGGGCTGACTACCAGGATTGGCCCCCACCCTGCAGGGCCCGGCCTGGAGTCCCCGTGGCAGGTGCCCCCTTCCCACCCTCCTCACTGCAGCTGGGCTGGGGGGCTTCACCAGGCCTGGGCTCGGGGCCATGTCCTCGCCGTGCACCTTGGCCTGGGGCTGCTCCCGGAACTGCTGGGCGCTGGCCAACAGGCAGGAAAAGGAGGCCGGGCTCACGGGCACCCGAGCCACCTTGCAGGAGCCTGCAAAGACAGACGCTGCCACTGGCCCCTGCCCTCATGGCTTTGCAGACCTGCCTTGGGGCGGAGGACAGCAGCCGACTTCATGGGAGTGGGCAAAGGGCGTCACATGGGCACCCCCATGGGCTGCTTCCCCAGAGGGGGCCAAGACAGCCCTTGCTGTGAGGCCGCGTGGCGTCACCGAGGCGTGGCCAACGCCAGGACGCTGTGGACGGGCCCCAGGAGGATAGGCCAGCAGAGGCCGGGAGCTGGGACAGCCAGGGAAGAATGGAGGACAGACCAGGTGGTTCCAGTTAAAGGCACCAAGGCTGCCCTGAGACACCCAGAAGGGGGTCAGCGGAGGGGTGGCCCGGCCTCCAGGACCCCAGGACCGCAGGGACAGGGAGCATGGGGCCTCCCAGAGCTCCAGTTGGGCTGCAGGCTGGGAGATGGCCTGTGGGGCTGGGGCCGACAGGCCCCCCAGGGGGAGGCGAGGGGCCCGTCTCTGTGAGCCCCACCCCAGCAGCCCCAGGGTGTCGCTCACCTCCTACTTGCAGCACCTGGCCCTTTGCTGCAGGGGTGAACCTGGGTCTCTCGTATGCAGCACCGTACAGGTGGGTCCTGCCGGCAGGACGTAGGGAGGGGCAGGGCCCAGCTTGTGGGTGCCAGAGGGGCCCTGAAGATGCTGATTCTGCGAACTGCACGCACCCCCGACAGGAGGCCCTCCCCAGAATGCCTCCGCCAAGTCAGACAGAATTAAAACAGGCCCATGCAGGAAAGCTCTGTGTGGTCCCTGCCGGAGAGGGCAGCCCCGCCCTGTGGCCGCACTGCCCATGGGCTTCCTGACTGGGGTTGGGGGGAACCATGCAAGAATCACAGTGCGGAGTCCTCACCTGTCCTGGGAGTGGTGCAGAAAGAGGATCCGAAAAGTAGGAGGAATTTCATTCAGGAGGTTAAGATGCTGGTCAGTGACGCCGAGATTTTGCCAAGCCTGCATGTGATAGACCAAACTCAGTAAACTACATCAGGTGCAGGTCCCTGCGCTCCACGACAGGCCAGCGGGTGTTTAGGAGAGAGCGCTGCAGGCCTGTGGGACTCCTGGCCACCCGCGGGCAGCAGACACGTGGGACTCACCAGCTCGTCAACATTTACCTTCTCTTGGTTAATGTCAGAAAATGGGTCTGCAGGCCACAGGCGTAGTACCACAGGCCAGATGGATGGGGGTTCTCCCCCTCCAGCTCCACCCCTGCGGCCCTCGCCTGTCTCCTCCACACACGCAGTCTCACGCACACCCACGTGCAGAAGCACAGCCATGCCCCCCAGCCTGTCCCCTGGCTTCCTGGGCATGTCCTGGGGCTGTCCCACTGGCCCCTGCTATCCTGGGGCCCCCACTGTCAGAGGCTGGTGGCCAGCACACACCAGGGGGCTCCTCCCCACCTCCTCCCCACCCGGAACGCTCCTGGAATGAGCTGCAGCTGCTCAGAAGCCATCCCCCACTTGCGATGAAGTGAGCTTGAAGTTTGCAAACAGACGCCAATGTCCACCCTCACATCTGTGCAAGTAGAAGGACACAAAGAGCCCAGACATGGCGGCAGGGTGCCACCCTGCCCCGGGAGCCACAGCAGACCTCTGCGCGCTGGCTTCCTGACCTGGCCCTGTGCCATGCACCCACATCCGAGCTGATGCCCAGGGGCTGCCTGCTTTGTCGCTGAAGAGTATCCCCCGCATGGGTGCTAGCTGCTTCCTTATCCCTCTGTGGCCCCCGGGCATCTGGGGGCCTCCCTTTTGGCAACCAGGCCACTTGATGAGCACACCGCAACACGTGGAAGCCTTTCCTGAGCAGACCCGGGAGTCGGGTGGCTGGGCGAAGTCTGCGTCTGCCGGGCACGGGCGGAGTGCCTGCTGCCCTGTGGCTCATGACCTCTAGGCGATTTCCACTTGCCCCACTGCAGCCATCCTGGCAGGCATCTGGAAGTATCTGTGGCTGTAATTTTTGCATTTCACTCATGACCAATGAACTTGGGTGTCATTAGCAATTTTATTGACCATTTGGGTATCTTGTGAAATCCCAGGCTTCTGACCCTCTGCTGCTGGTGTCCACCTTTCCCGTGTGTAGGTACAGGTAGAGTGGACAGTATCAGCCCTGGGGCTTGGTGACTCCCAATACCGTGTTTTTGATGAATTGAGCTCTTAATTTCAATGCAGAACAAATGGTATTTCTTTCCCTTCTATGTTCTGTGACTTCTGTCTCCTGCGTAATGGATGTTTAGCTGCTCCTGAGTAATGAAGGGGTTGTCCCTCTTATGTCTCCCTCTGACATCTTCGCAGCTTGTCCCCTCACAGGTGGGAGACACTGCCTGTGGGCGGAGGGGAGGCCGCTGACCCGGAGCTGTTCGTGAAAGCGCGCCATCCAGCACCCTGGACAGATGGCAGGTCGCGCGAGTGGGAGGGTCTGTTTCTGAACTTTCCCTTCTGACCTGTTGATGGCTTTCCCTGTATCTGTGCATCTTAACTTCTGCAGCTTTAAATAGGTTTTAGGATCTTGTACAGTAAGTTGTGTCCATACAAATCATACAGTAATTTCCATACAAATGTTAAAATTAGACTATCAATTGTTAAAAAAAAAGAAAAAAGCCTGCTGGCAATTGATTCGGTTTGTGTTGGACCTACTGGTTACTGGCCCTCAGGAGGTCTTCCTGGTGACCCAGCATTCAGGCCCACAGGCCCCTCAGGAGAATGAGGAAGCCCAGGGGGCAGGGTGGTGCTGGGCACCCCTCCTCCTGGGAGCAGCCCCTGCAGGAGCCCGCCAGCCCTTCCCGGACTCCTGTCGGCGGCTCTGGACACATCACCAGTCACGGGCCACTTCTACAGAAGCGTCAACTATTAATTAAACTCAGAGGACCGGAGCTGCAAAGTCACCTGACGGAGGAAAGGACACCTGTTCAGCCCTTTGTCCACATAGAGAAGTGGCATCTGAACATCCTGGAGCTTCCTGCCCCCCAAACACGGGCTCTCAGTTCACTTAGCTATTCTTGAATTTCTCTTAAGAAGGTTTATAGTTTTTGGGGCAGAGGTTGTGCACATATTCTTTTAGATCTTTCCCTGATTATTTGATCATTTCTGGTGCCATGGAAAACGGTATTGTTTAGACATTTTCATCACTCCCTGTTTGTATCTGGCGGGTGGAAGGCACTGTTTGCTGCTGGCCCGTGGCCTTCTGCTGAGTGCCCGTCAGGGTGCGCTGGTCTGGCCCCCAGGGCATGATCACGCTGGCTGTGAACAGCCGGCCCTGCGTCTTCCCTCTCGACCTTGATTTCTGGTCTTGCTGTGACATCATGAGTGGAAGTGGTGACAGGAGCCTGTGTGTCATGGCCGCTCTTGGAGAAGAGCCTCCAGTATGTCACCATGTCCCATTTGTCTGGAGACATGTGTGGCCGTCGTATCTGGGGATGGGCCCCTGGCATAGGAGGCCAGGGACGCTGCTCAACACCCCAGGGGCACAGGGTGGCCCAGTCAGAGAATGATCCCACCCCACAGAGGCGACCGTGAAGGAAAAGGAGCAGGGCTGGCTGAGCTCCAGGCTGCTCCCTGACCGGCGAATTCTATCGTGTCCATTTCTTCAAACATGCCCGTAAACGCCCGCTGGTCCAAACACAAGGGCAGGCGCTCGGAGCTACCCCGCTCTGAGGGTGTTTCTTGGAATGGCGCTCTGTGATCCCCCTGGGGCCTAAAGTGTCCCCTTGGACAGTGAAGGCCACAAGGAGCCCACCACCCTCACAGAGACCCCAGGACACTGTGTCCACCCAGGGCCTGATGCAGGGGGGCTGGCTGACCCTCCCAGTCACCCAGGAGGGGGCTGCCCTCCCCACGAGGCCCAGGAGGCAATGAAGCTCGGAGAGGGTGAGCGACCCTCCCAGAACCACAGCCGGCAAGAGGCAGAGCCAGGACTGGACCCAGGCTGTGTCCTCGCTGAGTGGGGGCCAGGCAATGGTGGGCACTTCAGCAGAGCCCCAGAGCCAGTTCTGCAGGGAGGGCTCCCTGGCTCAGTCACCTTGGAGATGGTGGCCAGCCTCCGCCCCACGCTGGCGAACAGGCTGGTGGAGGTCCTCTCCTGGAGCCGCAGCCCCTGCTCGAGCCACAGCAGGGCCGCCAGCTGGGAGCTGCTGGTGTTGGCCGTGGCCGTGAGCAGGACGTCCCGCATCATCTCCGAGGCCGAGCAGCTCTGAAACGGACCACGGCCCCACCCAGGGCCACTCAGGCTCCACGGCTCCGGCTCCCTGGGGATGCCATTCTGCAGGCAGGGCCCCCAGGCCCCACCTGCTGCGGTACCCAGGGTAGAATACTCAAATGCTTCTCTGCTCCGAGCCTCAGGGCACAAGGCTGGGTGGATTTCTGCTGCTTGTGGACCAACAGGACACTGACAAGAGGGGCTGGGGCTCAGAGGACAGCCTGCCACCTTCTCTGGGCCTGCAGTCCCCTCCTTGGTGGAACACCGTCCTCTAGGGGAAGGCCCAGTCACAGCCTGGCTGGTGGGACCAGCCGTGGGGTTGGGTGCCGGCGGACCTCCCTCTCCCGACACGGCCAGGAGGGCCTTGAGGAGACCCGTGGGGCCCAGCTGCACCTGAGACAGTGCCAGGAACTGGCAGGTGGTCACAGGGTCCAGGGTGCCTGTGCACTCCACCAGCTCCAGGCTGGCAGCTGCTGCGATGTCCAGGAGGCGGCTGCCCAGGGAGACCTGCAGGCACTGGAGCAAGACCTCAGACGCCTGGGCCAGGAACTGCTGGGCCAGCACCAGCCTCCTCTGCGGGGGCATGGGCTCGGGCTCAGGCGGCTCCCCGGGCAGGGCACACACGGGGCAGAAGGAGCAGCCCTACCTTCAGATCTGAGCCTCTCCTGCTGCGCTCCTCGGGGGCTGCCCTGAAGGCCGGCAGGTGGCTGCGGGGCGCCTCGCCACCCCTGTCCTGCGGGGTCATCTCCACACTCCTGAGGTCACTCAGGCCAGCACCCACCTGTGGAGTGCATGGCACCAGTCAGCCGGCACGGGTCAGCACAGACACTGACCCCTGTGGAGAGCCCGGCCTGGCCCTCAGAGCACCTGTCACGGCCTGGGCATCTCTGCAGGGCCCCCGGGCTTGGATGCTGCAGGCCACCACCGGCCTCTCACCGTCTGAATTGGCCACTGGGCCTGGCCTAGAGCCCGGGGGTCGGAGGTGCAGCCAAGACGGGGAAGCAGCCCTGGAGAAGTCTGAGTACCACCAGTCTGGGATCAGCCACATTCTGTTCACTTTCTCTCATCCAAAACCACCTTCCCTGGGCATTGGTGCCAAGAGCATCAGGCAGCGGGGCTGAGTCAGGTGCCCGCTTGCCCCAGGGGGCTGGGGACAAATGCACAATCCCCTATCAGACTTGTGCCGGCCTGTCTGCAGGACAAGTCACCCCCATGGGGTCCTTGGGGTGCCAAGTGACCCTGCCCAGAGCATCAGGCCCAGGAGAACTTGGGTTGAGGGGGAGCTCCTGGGTTTTGGGGTCATGATAGGCAGCGGCAGGGAATGGGGCGGGCTGGGCTCCCTTCTTGGAAGCACCCTGCCCCAGGCCTCACAGGATTCGGTGCACATTTCCCATCATCAGCACCTTCCATACAAGGACCCTGGCTTGGAGAGGAGGGCCACACATAGGCCGTGTCTCTGGCCCATGTCTACCTGGCTCAGAGCCCCCTGTGCAGGTGTGGAAAAAGGGGGCAAAACTCCAATTCACCCAAATGGGAGTCCTGCCTTTGACCTGGGACCCCAGGACAGATAACTCATCAGGGCTGACCCCAGGGCCTGTACAGCCCACCAGAAATGTGGGGCCTGTTTGGGCTGGGGGGTCTTCCTCCAAGAGCAGAGTCTAGGGGATGAGCCAGGGGTTCAGGGCAGTGACCGGGAGCACCCACAGCTTGCAGTGACAGCAGCCATCAGAGGGCTCCCTCGGGAGTGCACCTGCCGGGCAGCTCTTGGGGCCCTAGAGAAGGGTGCAGGCTGCGTACACAAGGTCGGTGGCCTGGGGGCTCTGGCCCACTTGGGCTTCACTGGGCTGTTGGGCAAGTGGAGTGAAGGTGGGCAAGGCCTTGCTGCACATTAGGATGGGGGCTGGGGGCTTTTAGCTCAGGCCCACCCTGGCCCCTGGGGTAGAGCGCTGCTGAGGGGAGGGAGCTGCCAGCAGCCGCGCGGGCTGAGCACCCACATCTGGCGCCAGGACACCGGCATGGACCTCCTCTCTGCTCACCTTCCCCTCCTGCCCACACCCTGCAGAGGCGCCCCTTCCCCTCCATGGGCTGTCCCCAGAACCAAGGCTCCCCCCGTCCATTGTTGCACATACAAGCCTGCTTCCTGCCTCCCTCCCCTTTGTCAGGTCACACCAACCCTGTTAACCCAGACAGCCTGAGGCCTCGTTCTCTTCCTGAGACCAGGTGAGTTTTGAGTATTTGTTTCTGTTCTAAGCACTGGGTTTGTGAGCAGGTGGGGAGCAAGAGCCATACCAAGAGGCTCTCCTCCCAGTAGAAGGCGGGGTGCACAGGGTCCGCACGCACGGCCAGCAGGCGGAGGGCCCTCCCAGCGAGGCTCAGGAGCCGGGCGCCGATCTCCACGCAGCTGGCACCCAGCGGCCGCAGGCTCACCAGCTGTGCCAGCGCAGTGTGGGCCAGGGTCCGCTTCAGTGTGAGCCACTTCTTCAGAACACAAACACCTCGTGGTTATCCTTGCCCGACCCTCAGAAGTGCAACTGGCCCTCCAACACCCCAGGACCCCCTCCAATGCCCCTGGCGTGGGATGGTGGCACCCAGCTCTCCAGGTGACACCCTCTGCATCAGGGGGAGGGGCTCCAGGTCTCAGGTGTTAGGAGGGTCACTCAAGTTTGGTTATATAACCCTAATCTGGGGCTCACTGACAACGCATAAGTTTCTATCAAATTCAGTTTGGGGACTCTCTTTATCTTTGATCCATTTATAGTTACATCCAATTACTTTGATTCATGCTTCATGGAATCTAAGGAAATGTCTACAACGGCAGAGTATGTTTCCTTCAAAACAAATATTTTGCAAATTCATCTTATTCTTTTAACAAAATGAGATAACCTTTCCGGAGCCCTTTAATGTGCTGACATCACCAGTCACAGCAAACTCGTGATTGGGGAGAGGCTTCTGTGCACAGGAGACACCCCAACCGACCCGCCTTCGTCAGCCAGCTCACGCCCTTGGACCCGGGACCAGAAGCCCTCCTGGCTGGGGTGGGGGGGCCTGCCGGGACCCCACCAGGGCCCAGGTCCCAGGGGTGCCTGACTGAGGGTCAGCAGGTGCTTAGTCTCCAGACATGGTTACCAGGCCGACGGACGTGTAGTCCCGTGTGCTGTGCAGGTAGCTGGCCAGCAGCTTGTCCGCGGAGCCCTGCGCAGACGGCTGCTCCAGGCTGTCCCCCGACGTGAGCTGGAGCAAGTCCAGGGATGCCTCTGCCAGGCTGAGCTTGAGCTGGGCCAGCTTCCTCATCAGGGGGCTGTTGACGTTCTGTAACTGGGGTGTTCAGGGGTGCAGGCAGAGAGGCCAATCAGCTTCAGCACCTGGCTGGTGGGTGTCAACCGCCACTGCAGTCAAGTGCTGGGTGTGCCCCCAGAGCCTCACCTCACATTGAGAGCCTGACTCCTCCCTCCCCCAGGCAATAGCCCATCAGCTTCTCTCGGTTCTGTGTGCCTGGAACCGTGTGCCGTGCGTCTGTCCGGCTCATCTCAGCACGGGTACTCTGGGACTCGCCCACATCACTGCACATGTGGCCCCCGCTCCTCGCGGCTGAGCGGCTTCACCATTTGGCCACTCTCACAGCTGGGGGCTGTCACGTCACAGCTGGGCAAGGGCTGTGGAGGAGTTCTTTAGCTCCCTTGGGTAAATGCTGGACTGGATGGGAGGCCTGTGGTCAACCTTCCAACGCCAGACTGCTTTCTGAAGCAGCTGTACCTCCACAGCCCCAGCAGCCACTTCTCCACCTCCTTGTCCACATTCGGCATGGCCAGTCTCTAAACTGGAAGCCACGGTGAGCAGGTGTGTGTGGTTCCAACCATGCCTTTCCTTGGCTCACTAATGAAGTTCATCAACTGACTATTCACCATCGGCATGCTTTGTTTGGAGAAATATCTGCTCAAAATTTTTGCCCATTTTCTATTGGGTTGGTTGTTTTCTTATTATTCAAAGTTCTTTATATATTCTGGGTAAAAGCCCCTTTGTCAGATACGTGATGAACAAACATTTCCTCCTAGTCTGTGACTTGTCTTCCTTTTCTTCTAACAGGTCTTTTAAAAACTAGAAGTCCAACATAGTTTATTCTTTTATGGATCATGCTTTTGGTAGCATATGTTTAAAAATCTTTGCTAAACAGAGGTTGCAATGGTGTTTTCTTCAGAAGCATTGTAGTTTAGCTCTTACATTTAGGCCTATGATCCATTTTGAGTCAATTTTTACATCTGGTGTGAGGTATGAATCAAGCTGTATTTTTTTATATGTAGATGTACAATTGCTCCAGCACCACCTCTGTTTGAAGGATCAGCCGCCTTTCTTCACTGAACTGCATTTGCTCTTGTGCTGAAAATCAATTTTCTGTGTGTGTGTCTATTTCTGGACTATTACTTTCCACTGATCTGTTTGTCTACTTTTACACTAAAACTACACTGTCTTGATTCCCATAAATTTACAGGAAGTCTTAAAACCAGACAGTGTTAAGACCTAAAACTGTTTTCTTTTTTGAAGTTGTGTTGGTCACATTAGTTCTTTTGCAATTCCTACATTTTAAAATCATTTTGTCGATTTCTATAAAAAAGACTGCAGTTACCCTGATCAGGATTGCAGATAATTTGGGGGAGACTAGCATTTTGGTAATACAAGTCTTCTGATCCACAAACATGGTACATCTTTCATTATTTAGGTCTTCCTTAATTTTTGTGAACAATGTTTTATAGTTTTCAAGGTACAGGTTTTCATGTTTTTTTGTCAAATTTAATTTTTATGCTGTCATAAATGGTATTATTTTTGAACTTTTAATATCTGACTGAACATTCCTAAAATATAGACATATAAAATTAGTATTTGCATATTGTTCTTGTATCCTACAACTAAATCAGCCTTTTATTATTATTTCTCATAGATTGCATAGAATTTTCTATACAGATGATCATGTTATCTGTGAACAAAGACAGTTTTACTTCTTCCTTTCCAAACTAGACACCTAGTTTCTTTTTTCTTGCCTTATTAAATTGGCTAGAACTCTAGCACATTTCTGAGTTAATTCTTTTTACAATTAAAAGTGTAAGCAGACACGTCCCTGTCTTTGTCCTCATCTAAGGGGAAACATATGGGCTTTCACCATCCACTATGATGTGAGCTTTAGTTTTTTCATGGGCACATTTTATCAGGTTGAGGGAGTTTGTGTATACTAATAATTTGTTAAAAGTCTTTATTTAAAAATCAAAAATGGGTGTTGGATTTTGTCAAATGCTTTTCCTGCATCTGCTTAGATGATCATATGTTTTTATTTTTTATTTAAAAAAATATGGTGAAGCAAATTGATTGATATTGGAATGTTAAACCATTCTTGGGATAACCCCAACTTGGCATTGATGTATTATCCTTTTTGTATATTATGGGATTTAATCTGCTAAAATTTTGTTTAGAATTTTTGCATCTCTATTAATTAAGACTAATGGTCTGCAGTGTTGGTTTTGCTATTAGGATAATATTAGCTTCACAGGGGGGATGTATTCCCTCATTTTCAATTTTCTGTGAGAGTTTGTGTAGAATTGGTATTATTTTTTTCCTTAAATATTTGGTAAGATTCATCAGTAAGCCATCTGGGCCCGACATTTTTTGTGAAAAGACTTTTAACTACAAAATTCATTTTTTTAAATAGATAGAGGGCTATTCAGGTTATTTATTTCTTTTCAAGAGAGCATTGGCAGTTTGTGTCCTTCAAGGAGTTGTTCCATTCCACCTAAGCTGTCAAATGCATCAGCATGAGAGCTGGTCATGAAGCTCCCTTATCATTCTTCCCAGTGTGTGTCACTCTCTGGGGGTGTCATGTAGCTTGGTTCTGATACTGGTCATTTATGTCCTGTCTTTTTTTTTTCCCGATCAATCTGGATAGAACTTTATCAATTTATTGATCTTCTCAATATTTTTCTCTTTTATTTTTCCTTTTCTACCTCCTGGTTTCCACTCTGATATTTGATTTCCCTTCTTTTCTAATTTTAAGTTTAATCTGCCCTTTCTCTACTTTCTTAAGGTGGAGGGGCTGAGGTCATTTGATTTGGGACCTCTTTTCTTTTCTCAAATAGGTATTTAGTGCTACAAAATTTCCCCTAAGTTTTGCATTAGAGTCACCTCAAATTTTTTTTGATATGTATTTTTCATTCAAAATAAGTTTTTCAATTCAAAAATATTTTCCCTTTTGATTTCTTCTCTGGCCCATAATTATTTTGATATATGCTATTTACTTTCCAAGTAGTTAAACATTTCCCCAATTTTAAAAAATTGAGGTAAAATTCACATAACACAAAATTAACCATCTTAAAGTGTACAGTTCAGTGGTACTTAGTACACTCACAACCTTGTGCAAGCATCAACCGTCTACTCCCGAAACATTTTCATCCTTCCACAAGGAAACTCCTATGCATTCAACAGCCATTCCCCATCCCCTACAACCACTAACTTGCTTTCTGTATCTATGGGGTTTCTTATTCATCTTTCTGCATTTTGATTTCCATTTTAATTCCATTGTAGTTTCAGTACATACTTTATATGACTTAAATCCTTTTATATTTATGGAGACTTATTTTATGTTTATGATCCCCAATATGGTCTATCATGGAAAATGTTCCATTTGCACATGAAAAGAATATGATTCTGCTATTGTTGGGTGGAACATTTTATAAACATCTATTGGGTCAAATTGGTTAATGGTGTTGCTCAAATCTTCAAGTATTTTTTTTTTGTCTATTTTCTGTCTGGTTGTTCTATTAATATCTGTGAGAGGGGCATTGAAATCTCTGACTCAATGTCTATTTGTCTGCTTCTCCATTGCAGTGCTTGGTTTCTGCCTCACTGATTCTGAAAGTCTGTTATTAGGAGCATAAGTGCTTAGCACATTATGTCCTCTTGGTCCTCTTTGAAATTACTTAACCTAAAAGCTTCATAAACATTATGAAATGAACTTCTTTGTCCTTGGTAGTATTCTTTCTCTGCTCTGAAATCTACTCTGTCTGGGGTACTGTGTCGGTGAGGTCGACGGAAGGCTGCACGATCGCGTCGCATGGCATTCCCGGACTTCACTCGGAGCTGATCCACATCTTTATGCCGACGTTGGCTTTCTTGTGGGCAGGATACAGCTGGGTTTTGCTTTTTCATGCAGTCTAACAAATTATGTCTCTTAATTGGGTGTTCAGACCATTCTGGTTTAGTTTGGTTGTCACTATGACTTGGTTTGAGGTCATCCACTGTTTCCTATGGGTCCCACCTCCTTATTCTCTTTTCCCTTTTTCTACATTTTTGGAGAATAAGTAAGTAAATTTTAGGATTTTCTTTGATCCCCCTTCTTGGTTATTAGATGCACTTCCTTGTTCAGTAATTTCTATGTTGCTTCAGGGTTTCCACTGCTTCTTGCAGAGCTTAGAAGTCCTTTATGCTGCTGTTGTCATTCGTTTTGTTCTACATGCATCGTAAACCACTGTTGCTAATTGATTATTCTTTTAGAGAGATGAAAAACTCTTAAGTTTCCTCAGGTAGCTCACATTTCCAATGGTCATCTGTCCGTGTAGACCATCCTTCCCTCTGGTGTCACTGTGCTAGTGTCTCAAGGACCGACTGCAGGTTCTTGCAGAGTGTCTGCTGGGGATGCGTTCTTTTAGCTCTTGAATGTTTAGGAAACACCTTTATTTCACCTTCATCTTTGGAAGCAATCTATTCTGGGCACAGAACTCCAGATCGGCAGCTCCTCTAGTCATTTGAAGATGCCGCGTCGCTGTCCCCTCAGTCTCACTGCTCCTGGTGACACACCTGCTCTCGTCTCGTCTCTGTTGCGCTTTATAGAACACACACGTCTCCCTCTGGCTGAATTCAAGAGGCCCTTTCGGTCACCGATTTGGGCAATTTGGTCACGGCTTTATTCCTGCCCATAGTTCTAGAGCTTGGGATTCACTGAGCTTCTTGGATCTGTGGGTTCATAGTTAATTTTATTAAATTTGGAGGTTTCAGCTATTACTTCTTGCAGTACTTTCCCTGCCCCCTCTGTTTGTCCCCCCCTTGCTAGGCCTCGGCTGACCTGCCTTCGTGCTCTTGGCCTTGTTCCTCGGCTCTCTCCTGTTCCGCAGTTTCAGCTTTTGTTCTCTTTTCTGCCTTCTCTCTCTCTCTCTCCTTGTTCAGTGGTTTCTACTGCTATGTCCTCAGGTTCTCCAACCTCCGGCAGGCTCTGCTGCTCCCCACCTAGCACACTCTTCATCTCACACTCACACCTCTGAAAGTTAAACTCTGATCTTCTTTTAATACCTTCAGTATATCTGCTTCACTCTCTGAACACACCGAACACAGCCGCGGGAACTGGTTTAACGTCCTGTCTTCCGGTTCTGGGGTCTGTGTCCGTTTTGGTTGGTTCTGGTTGGTTATTCTCTGTATTACAAGTTGTATTTTCCTACCTTTCTGCATAATAACTTCTTATTGGTTACCAGACGTTGTGCATTCTGCTTTTATGGTGAATGGACATTTCTGCACACCTGTGGGTGCTGCTGACTTTTGTTCTGGGACAGACGGCTTGGCCCTTGGGGGTGTTCCTCGGAAGGCTTTTCAGGCAGACCTGGACCATGCTCCTCCAGGGCTAACTGTCCCCCAGCTGACACTGGCCTCTGCGGCCGAGGTCCCCATGGACCACGAGGTTGTGCAGTCTGGCTGGTGGGAGCTGCTGCTGACTGAGCCCTGAATGGCTGTCAGGCAGTTTCCTATAATCCTTTGGAGTGGTTCTCTCCCAGCCTCAGGCAGCGTCCTCCCAGGAGCCTGCTGACCAGTCCTCAGCTGGAGGCTCCCGGGGTCTCCTGGATGCCCCCTGTTGTGACCACAGTGAACATGGACATCTGTGGAGTCCCCTCTACTCAGGGGTCACTGTCTGCCCTTGCTGATGTCTAGTGTTTTGAAAAAATGTTTTCTGGTTCTTTCGATGGGAGGATAAATCCAGTCACTGTTACTCCCTCTCAGCCAGAAGCAGAAGTAAGCAGTTTGTGTTCACAGTATGTCTAAACGTGTGTATCTATGTGCTGATGGGGATGGCCGAGCTGAGGAATGACCCCAAGTACGCCCAAGGGTGTGCGACATGCACTTACATTCTGCAGGGACAGTAACCCCTGGACACTGTGAAATACCCCTTCCTCTTCAGCCACGGCTCTCTGCACCAGGTCATGCGCTTCCAGGTAATAGGCCATTTTTCGCTCTTCATCTTTCTCATTTTGGGCACATATCCTTTATAATAAGGAAGAGAGGATTTAGAACAAAAATGTCAAAGCATTCCTCACTAGTACTGACACAATGTGTCATGTGTAATTTCTGTATGATTATACTGTATAACTTATCAGTACTTCAGGTTGTGTGATTAGATGTTTTACATGTAAAGGTATTCTCAATACATCTTAACACAAAAATATGTACGCACACTGTGCTATTTTTATAAAAATTAAATCTGTGCCTAACAGAATCATGAGCCGACAGCGCGGTGGCCACTGTCCTGGTCTGAACGCTTCATTTTGCTATTTGCGCTTTCTGCACTTTCTCAAAGTTCCGCGGTGACTGTCCACTGCTGCCTGACAGTGATGTGGCCGTGGTCGTGCTCCCTGAGTGCCCAGGCTGCCCCAACCCCCATAAAGGCTGTTTTGGGTGCAGCTGGTCTGCTTGTTGCGCTTTGAAATGCTGGCGAGTATGCCCAGCATGGGGGTGGCAGGGGTGGGGGAGGCAGGAGAGGGGAGGTTATTGAGGTGGAGGGAGTCACGCCAGGCCCGCCTTTGGTCCCCTGGTGAGAGAGGGGATGTCCGAGAGGCAAGGACGGGAGGAGGCCGTGCCCTACTGGAGGGCAGCGCCAGGGCCACCTCTTGAGACCTGAGCCAATGGGGGCAGGTAGGTGCGGGGCGACATGTGCACGTGTGTGTGAGCACCTGGGAGCGATGGGGGGTAATGTGCACACCTGGAAGTGACATGTCTGCATGTGTGTGCAATGTGGCGAGTGGTGTGAGCGTGTGTGCAATGCGGCTGATGCCTGTGCGTGTGGGTAGTGGCAGTGCTGTGAGTCTCGGTGGGGCTGATGTGGGCTGTGAGGTGTGTGTCTGTGTGTCTGCAAAGACTGAGCAGATAGGGCAGATGCAGTGAGGACACCATGATGAGTGGCACTTGGGGAACATCCCCAAGTGGCTGCAGACACCCAGTGTGGGTGTCCCTGAGAGACCTGCAGGTGGTTACAGGCCTGGGGCCAGGAGGTCCCAGTGGGGGCTGATGGGGGCTGGTGGGGCCTTAACCCAGGAGGAAAGCTGGGCACGTGGTCTGGGCATGGGAAGTGGCAGCACAGAGAAGGCTGCGCAGGGGGACAGGCCTGTGGCCCCGTGGGACTGAAGTGGGGACCCAGGCCAAGGCAGGATGGGCCTGACGGCTGTGTGCAGGGACCCAGGAGGGCAGTGACCGTCGCTAAGCCAGCTGCCCATGGGCCCACCCCGTGCAGAGCAGAGGCTTCTGGGAGGGTCTGCCGCTTGCCTCTTTATCTTTGCACGCTCGAGTTTTATGTCCACACAGTTCTCCTTGTAGCCACAGTCAGTGAACTTTTTCTCAATTTCCAACAAGTAGTCGTCCATCTCTTTCAGCAGAAACAGGCATTCAGAAGGTTCACCGTCAACTGGCTCCTGGGCCACCCTGATCCGGAGGCTTGCGCACCTACGAAGCACAGGCCCTGGCGTGACGGAGCACCTCCACTGGGCCGGCAGCTCCAGGGCGGTGCCAGCCCCACATGCGGCTCTGCCGAGCCCCAGCAGGCATCCAGGATGCGGGACGAGACTCTTAGGAGGGTTTCTCAAAAGCCAGCAAATGCCAGGCCACACTCTCCCATCTCAACGCAGTAAAATCAGAGCTAATAGGCCCTGGCTCTCCACCCATTTCGAAATTCAAAACCACTCTCCTAAAGGACCCCAGTCTGTTCACATGGAACCTGTGGGGCACTCCCAAGGGAGTTCACGGGCACGTGTATGAGGAAAGCACCCAGAAAGCATATGGACTAGTGATGGGCTGGGGCAGCAGGAACAGACAGTCACGAACAACCAGCGCTGCCCTCTCGCCAGCATGGGAAGCTTGACAAAGACGAACCAGAAAATCAAGGAAACCAAATGAGACAAAATCCCTGTTGCTTTGGTCAATAAAGCAAAAGCTGTTTCTTTGAAAAGGTCAGTTAAATTGGAATCTGCCGTTCTGACTTGAAGATATGGCACAGTCATGCTTTGATGAGGAGATGGACAATGTTCTAACTCTAATACAGCCGAAAACCTACAAGAAACGGTTTTCTGGGAGAACGCAGATTACCAGAGCCACAGCTCAAAGGCGAGCTAGAGGCCTGAGGCTGAGAGCAGAAGTAGTTCTGTCCGGAAGCACCTGCTGCCGGCCCAGACGGGCAGAGAGCCCCTGGTGCTGCCCCGCGTGGCTCGGCAGAGCAGCAGGAGTGGAGGGCGGGGGCCTGGGGCAGGGCCCACTCACTAGCTTGCCCCGAAACCAGGAGGCTCTACAGCAACTGCATCATGCTGCGGGAGCTGAGAAACACTCCCCGAGTTTCAGAATGAAACAAGGCCTCTGGAAAAGCTGGGGCGCTGTGCGAGTGGCCGCATGCAGCCCCACACATGCTCTGGGGAGGCCATTTCTCAGCAAAGGTGAGGGGACACCGGACAGTGCAGCCTTCTGCAGCCCAGGGGGAAGGTGTGGGCATGTGACCCTGTTATGGGATTCTCTCAACTTCATGACTTTGAAATATGGCATAAAAACCAACAGATGGAACACGGAAGCCGTGCATTTCATGTTAATGGCTTTTCTTCGGGAAGGTACCTGGCTTCTAGGTCCGTGGTCATGAACTCCAGCAAGGGCACTCGGTTGGGTCTTTCTCTCTTGAGAACATTGAAGGCATCGATGACTTTTTGAAACAGCTGGCAGACCTGGGAGGCGGCCCTGACCTCAGGGTGGGGCTCAGGTGCCTCGCCTCCACCGGCCTCCCGTGAGCCCGGCGCCCACGCCCTCCTCACCAGCAACTCCCCGCCTCGGCTTCCCACAGACAGCAGCGCATCCGCCAGGGTCAGAGCGGACTGGTACCAGAACTCCTCGCCCCCCCCCAGGCGCTGGGCCCGCTCCACCATCCTCTCTGCTTGTCCGTAGTTCTTTTCCTTGTTTGCCAGTCGTGCTAGAAGGTGTAGGCATTCTGATTGTGCATAAGGGTCGTCAAGCTCCTGAAGAAGATATGTGCGTACAGAGAAGGGCCAGGGTCAGGGACAGCCAGCGGGAGAGAGAGAGGCAGACAGAGGGACAGCAGCCCCAGGCGTCTGGGTGTCCCACACCCCCCATCCCCAGCTTCTCTGTGACCATGGAGGAGGAGCCCCTCAGGGTGTGGGCTGGGCTCCAAGCCTGTGCCCGTGTCAAAACCTACTTCCAGGTTCTGGACAGTGCTGACAGCCCGGGGAGGCCCCCACCCCAACAGTGGGCTGCAGGCGCTCCGGGAGGCTCTGTCCAGATGCTGGTCCAGGGCAGAAGTGCAGGTCTGGGGGAAGGGCCGACTAGCTGCTCATCTTTAGGTTGCCCTGTGCTAGCTGACCTCCGTCCCCTGCACATGGTCAGAGCCTGGGTGTGAGTGGGGGCAGAGCTGGCCTCTGGACCAAGCACAGCAGGAGGACACAGGGCATAGGGGCAGAAGGGCACAGGCCAGGGTGTCTGGGCCCAGATAGGGCAGCCAGCATGGGGCCCAAGGAGGCTAAAGTAGGGGACCTGGTGGGCTGGGGTCTCTTGCCCCAGAAGCCAATGCCCTGGAAGGCGAGTGTAGGCTTGGGGCAGTGTCACTGGAGCCAAGGTGGGTGGGACAGCGGGAAGCAGGTGGTGTGGGTTGCTGTGCGGACAGCATGCAGGCCAGGCTGGAGCAGTGGACTGAGGGAGGGGCCGGTCCTGGCCCCAGCAGACACCCTGGGGAGACCAGACCACGGGAGGTCTGCCATCCCAGAAGAGAGCCAGAGGGGTGGAGCCCAGATCTCGGCCAGGGTGGGGGGGTGG